GCGTTTGTGGTGGGGAACGAACGCGCTCTTCCCTTCCGGGGCTAACGCGTTAACCACCACTTCGTTTCGCCTGTCTCTCAGCTAATTCTATAGTTCAGGCCATCAGCAATCCCCTGTCAACGGGTTTGATCTAGGAAGCCCAAATCGGCAACGAACCCAGTTAAGCTAAGGTTGTAGTCTGAATCACAATGTTAACTTAATGTTATGTTTGATAATGTTAAGTTAACATCAATAAACAATTTCTGCTGGGTACACCCCAGTTTGTGTTGGGGTTGATCGGGGAGTAGCAATCCATGTGATCCGAACTATCGCTGTTTTCCCCTCCCCGCAGATTTGCAAATTTCTGTTCCTGTTCAGTGCAGTGTAATTGTACATATTGTTCATCGTCACTTGACAGGCTCGAATGTTTGTATTTTGATATAGAGAGTTCATTAAATCCGTGAATTTAGAGTAATGACAGAGATTCTTGTGGGAACTCCATTTAAGCTGTCTGAAAAGGAGAACAAAACCATAACTTAGTGAATAAATGAACAAAGAAAGTAATGGGCAAATAAGAAACCACATTAGCACATTGGTGCCGACGCCTGATTTTGTGTTGCAGATCGGTGGGACCGCGCCTAACTTTTAACCTGCGGCGAGCCATGTGTGATTCGCTTCGACTAACGATCCTCTTTTTTGTTGTGCTGTTTGTGTTGTTTGTTTTTGTCTCATAATTCGAGTTTTTTGCATTGTTTGCTGGCAAGCATTTGTTTTCATATCATGCTCATTCACTGCGTTATTCTACTTATCTTTCCATGCTTTTGGAACGTTTTCAATTCTTGACGGGAAGGAAAAACTTCCACATCAAGCTACATTGTTGTCAGCATTTTGTAAAGTTTCACAAAGTAGAAATTATGTCTATGGCACATATAAAAAATAAATTGGTCCGAAAAAGGTCTTCTGCATATTTCTGAGTGTAGAATATTTCCGAACGGAAATCCACAGTACCCCTAGCCAGCAAATCTTCCCGTTCACCTAGGTCCAAAAATTGTTAGCAGACTTGTCTGGATAGCTGAATCCGATTGACAGAAGTTGGTGTCTGTGGTGAAAATTGGGGAACGACCTAAGCCGTCTACACCAGGATACCAGGGAGAATCAATTCGAGCAGCATTCCTCGACATTCATTAAGAGGACCAAAAACTCTTATAATCAAATCCTGTACACAGTCGGAGACAAAGAATAGAGAAAACGATCCGAATGAAAGACCTGCTGGAATCCTAACACTATGTGGTGGCCGGTCATACAAATAAAAACGAACGAAAAATAATCTATCGAATAGAAGTGCTTCTACCTGCAGAGCCGAAAACAGTCGCAGATCGTCCGAAATTTGGGTCGTTCGAGCAACACGCTGAAACGAATGAAGTTCATTTTATTCTATCAAGAAATCTTTGCCGCCCGTCGCTTTTGTTCAACATATATCGGAATTTCAGTGCTTTGCTATCGTCAGCGCATTGATACTAGAGCGATAAGAATGTCTAAATTTGTGGATTAGTCCTGAAGTTCATTCTAGTCGCTGTTCTTGGTTACCTTAATCCTACGCATAGTGAACACTTAGATGGAAGATCGTCAACGCCGCCTCACTTTTCTATTATTATCTTTTCAGCAGAGGAGGATAGCACTGTGGTAGTGATGTCCGCCATCACCAGCATGGCGCTAGTTCAATTCCGCCCTAGGCCAACCAGGCCTCTCATCCCTTCGGAGTCGGGAAATTAGTACCAGACTTCTCTGGGAGAAAATTACTTCCTGTAATCCAATTGGGAATGTCCAACCTGGCTATTCCAGGGCTTCAGAGAGAATTGCTCGACCAGCATTCTACGACATTCAAGATGGAATGAAAATCCTCAAGCAGCAACCGAAGCCACACGTTAAACACTTGGAACACCTTGGTGGACGATGGATGTGAGGAAACGAATTGAATGTGAGAACTGCTTGGATCCGCACAGTAGATGTGAAGACGAGTCAAACAAAATGAAATGAAGAATAAAAAATAGATCTTATCAACGCTTAATCGGTAAATCGTTAAATACTGTCGTTCTGCGAATCCCTGCTTCTCTAGGGCTGTGGAATGCCTGCGACGGTCTGAAAACACTGTGAGAAAGCTGTTTTAGAATTCCAGTCCAAACCACTCTCAAAACACCCTCAAACTTGTCGAAGAGACGAAATGACGCATCGTCAAGTTACACCCGAATCTACGCTCGAACAAATCGGGATCCGTGAATCACGGTTTCGAGACTACGGGATGGGTGGAAGAATTGTTGAGATCCGCCCAGTGATAGATGACTAAATCTCTTCCTCTTTCACTCTTCTTCAAGAACTCAAGAACTTTATGAATGCGTCGTTTTCTTGTTCAGCAATTGCGAGGTTGTTAAACAGCATACGTTTACTTCCATAGAGAAACGCAATACAGTACAACACTAGCTGACGTTTTCGCAGTATCGCCTTCTTCAGAGCCGCTTTTTACGTGACTTCCAATATGGGAGGAATAACCTCGCGACTGCTGAACAAGAAAACAACGCATTCATATTTCAACGCCGAGGTTAGGAGAAAGTCGATCCTGGGAACTGTTTCAAGAACTTTACTTAAGAAAGATACGATAACGTTTATATGGTAATGTGACAGCCCACACCAGGAAATCCCATCAACTTAATCATATTTTTTCCGGATACGGCGGCTGTTGCGGAGTGGGTCGGCTCCAATGAGCGCCAGTTGGCCATTGAGCTACTCGCAGGTTTCTAAATACAACTCTCTTCTACACATCAGTTTCTCTTTCCAAGCACAACGGAGCTTGAGTAAATGATATCATCAATCATCATTCCTTTTTTGTTCCACTGAAGGCAATCCAAAACCTAGTTGCTACAGCTGTATAAATTTCGGCTAGCAATGACTGTAAGAAAAGCGCATTCTTTATATGAATCAACCAAATCAGAACTGAGCACAATTCCACTAGACAGTTTGTTGACAAACTTCTTTTTGCATGTAGAACGGCATTTAGATCTACGTATAGACAATTTTTGTGTTATTTAAATACTTTAAACGCGATTTTAAAAATGTGAAGAGGTTGGCATAATTGCTGCTGCTTTCAAAAGCGGTTCACCGCCTTATCGTGGCTGGGAGGTGTTCTTGGGTGTCGAGCTGCGTTGTACAGTAGGCGGATTCATCCCCTTGCAGGGTCTCCCATGCCGAGAAGGAGTCCGGCCTTTCCAGCAGGAAGCCAAGCCAAGAGTAAACCAATAGCAGGATCCACCATCGTTCTCCTACCAAACTAGTCGCATGGTGGCAAATCTCCCCCTGCTCCACAGGGGCAGCGACTGCCTGTGGTGGTGGGGACCTGAGGCAGACTTTGCCATGGCTGACCTCGGCAATCCAGGGAACCACAATGGCTGAAGTGCCAAAACTTCGAAAAAATGGAGTTTGTGCTGAGGCCCGCACAACCGTTGACGACCGGCCATCGAAGCACCAAAGTAAGAGAGTACTATTACGAAATTTATTCCATCTAATTTTACTTTGGTGTCGTATGGGAGAAAAACTAACTTAAGTGGTTCCATACAAGCGGGTCTTCCAAATATAGGCGATGGCTTTCCGATAACCAGAAGGTTTGAAGCGTTTGGAAGATCGCAGAGTTGCACAGGAGACTATTTTATCGCTTTAGTACCACGATTTACTTAATATGCTCTATCATACAATTTTTTGGAAGTGTTTGCAAGTTATGTCGAGCCTATTTTTATGTGTCCTATAGCCACCCAATCCGTATGACAACCATTCACAACTATTGATACTGAAATGACAGTAAATATTAGTGAAATGATCGGTCACTGGGTTCATCTGAGCAAACGTTGTCTTCTGCGTATTTTTAACAGTAGAGTAGAGCTTTTTCCCATCGGTTTTCGTCATATCATGTTGGATAAGGTGTTTAATGATTATACAAAGTGTCGGGAGAAGGTTCTCTGCACCAAAATAAGCAATGAGAACAAAAATGCCCCTTATAGAGGTCATATATGTCGCAATGTCTCTTACCCCTAGTCCAGTCATCGTTAATGTGTTAAATACTGCTAATGAGAGCAACATAACCCTATTGGCACTATATAGAACACCAGGATACAAATATGTTCTGAAAAATTTCCGTAAAAACGGATGTAGGTATAGAACAATATAGAGCATTTACACTGTCCTCAGCTTCTACTGTTACCTGTGTAATGTAGTGCTCAACAGTATTTCAAAAACGGACTTTACTTCGTATCACTAATCAACATGTATTCTTACAATGATAGCTATAATAACATGAGATTGATGAAGAACTTTATTCGGATAACGTTTCGGTGCCTTCGCACTCTTCAAAGACGGATTGATCCAAGTGGATTGTCCACAGTTCCCAAGACCGACTTTCTGTTAACCTCGGCATTAATTGATAATTCAATGTTTTTCATCAATAAGCAGACACGAGGTTGTAACAACCTCGTGTCTGCTTATTGATGAAAAACATTGAATTGTCCACAGTTCTTCGTTCTTTTGATCTGGGGCCTCGTAATCGCATCGAGCTGAATCCAGCACTCGCTCAAATGAAGAAGCCCGTGTTAGCTCATCAGTGAAAGAATACATGTGGTACGCAGAGCTCGAAAATTTTGGGAGGATATAAACAAATGGTACAAAATAGTAGTAGCAGTAAAACGGAAGGCAAGGAGAGTTTTTCGAACTACAAATGACAACAGCGAAGATGTTGGAGCGATGAGAACCTAGTTCTTATCAGAACTGCTCTTCTGCGAGCAGGCACCGCTCGCCGTGACTTCTATTTGCCACTGATTTGCCATCGAGTGGCCACGCTTGACTGGAGCAGCTTCACCAACGTTGTTTGCAATGGATTGCGATTGGCGGAACGACGCCCAACTCCACCACCCACCGACATCCACGACCGCTTCCAAGCCTCATAGACCTCGCGCCTTCGTTGTCTCCGTCTTGTGCTCACCATGGACTACGAAGATGACCCCGGATGGCAGTACTTACGACGATCCAGAGAGCAGATTCTTGAGGTGAACTAGATGCAGACTTTTAGAACTAATCGGCACCACTGGGAAGGCTAGCTAGATTCAAACTGGCCTGTTTTCCTTCTCGTTTTCCACATATTCCATATACTCCGAGCTGAGCTTCTAAACATTTTTCGAAACCTGGTGTTTAAAATGTTATAATTTGACCTAACTAGTGAAAAGTTGCACTTTCTCCGCGGCACCAGTGAGTTGTGTCTATGGACCTTTGATAGATCCGTAGATTTCGTAAACTCTTTACTATGAAAACAATTATATCAAGGGTCCTCCTAACAGTTTACCGCCTCATCACGGCTAGGAAGTGTTCCTGGATGTCCGGTTGCAATGTACAGCGACGGATCCATGCTCCCAGCAGTGTCTCCCAAGCTGAGGAGTCCGGCGTCTCCATCAGAAAGCCTAGCTAAGAGTAAACCAATACCTAGATCCAGCGCCGTCCTGGTATCAAACTAGTCGCATAGTGGCAAATCTTCCTCTGATCCACAAGGGTAACGACTGCCTGTGGTGGTGAAGACCTGGGGCAGACTTTGCCTAGGCCAACCTCGGGACTCCAGGGAACCACAATGGCTAAACCAACAAAACTCCGAAAATATGGAAATTATGCTGGCGCCCACACAACCAGTGAGGACGGACCCTCCAACTATCCAAGTAAGTATATTAAGGGTAGACATAGCTGGCAACAAGGGTCTTTTTTTCTTCCAACTTCATAGAATTTGAAGCACTTAAGTGATAACTGCTTGAACTGTGCAAGAAGCTGCTGACCAATCAATTTTTCGTCATAAAAGAATCAGTAGAAGTGCTTTATAGAGTCAAAACTAGAAATGCTTACTTTAGGATGAAAGTCGCCCATATGACTCGAAGAAGAATTGCTGGGTGCCGGATCCCGAAGAGGGATACGTGGATGGCGTCATCAAGGAGACCAAAGGCGAAGATGTCACCGTCATCGTGGGTCAAGGCAACGAGGCAAGACGCATTCTCAGGCTCCGGTCGTATTTTATTCAACCCTTGTTAATATCTTTCTCAGGATTTCAATTCTGATTCGAGCAGTTTTGCTTTACTTTTACTTTGTGTGTTTTTGCTGATTTTCCTTCAACTCATTATATTATTCTGTTCCTACTTTTGAGTAATCTTCGTCAAATCCACCTTAGGCCCTGATTTCTAAAGTTATAAGCTGTTCAACTGTGAAATCATTTTCAACCGCGACAAACCGTTTTTCACGTTCAGCACTAACTTCACAGTAGTATGAGCAAATAGAATAATATTGTTGAAAGGTCGAAATCAAAACAGTCGAAGTTGTTTTCGCCGTTTTTGTTTCGGAAATTCTACTGTCACATTAAACACTATACTACTTCCTGTTATTATGAGTCCTAAGCTTGCATGATTAATCTACAGTCGGTAGAAGAAAGACAAAACAGATTACTAGAGCCGGTTTTCCTGTCCAGGTTGTTTTGTTGAGATCAAATGATAAATTTCAGAAGGTCTTCAAAAAGGCGCTGGTTCAAGAAATGAATCCGCCGAAATTCGAAAAAACCGAGGACATGTCGAATCTGACGTTCCTCAACGACGCGTCGGTGCTGCACAATCTGCGAGCACGGTATTCGTCGATGCTCATCTATGTCAGTTGAGCCAACTCGAATTTTCCCTAGAAGATTAAGGATCTGAGAATCGCTAAGTCGAATTGGAACGGATTGGAATCCCTAAGAAGGAAGCGTTGTGTTTTTGGCGCGAAAAATAGTATGAGCACACCTCATAAGTTACTAGATCTGTTGAAAGCGATAGCTTTGTTGTGAAAGCCATTTTGATACCTATGAGAACTGAATGGTAAAGCATAAGCCGGTATGATCACAAATTTGACTTCATACACTTTAAGTGCGGTTAATGAAAAGACGAACTGTATGCATCGACTATCCCGAATTATGGGATTCTTGTCCTATGTAGTTTCAACAAACAAAACTCTTAAAATCTTCTATCGATTAACACTTCAGTAGAGCCCAACAAAATTTACCTCTGCAATTTCAAGGACATACGGCAGCTCCGAATTTGCTTAGAGTTGGAGTTCACAGACTACCCGCCAACCCAGTCTTCCACATATCGTAAGAGTGTAGCTGTCGATTAGGGTAACTTAAGAATTTTAACAACAATTCCTCTTGATGTTTGCTAGACGGTTTTTTTCTTTCTACTTCTGTTCAGCAAACACGAGGTGTTATTTTATTTTTTTATTTACGTACAACCTGACGTTTCGGCGAATTTCGCCTTCCTCAGAGGTAATCGGTAAGATTACTCTTAGGCGCCAGCTAGTTCGTAACCGCATATGTGACTGTCTATGTGCAACGCAAAATTGCATAATTTGTCCCAATGGTAAAGACGGTGATTGCATGAGCTCGGATATAGTTTATCTGATCTCCTGTAAGGCGTGCGGAGACGAATACATTGGCGAAACGGGCAGACCCCTCTGTGTCTGCATAAAAGAACACCTAGCCGGCAAACATAAACCAAATACCTCGCTAGGCACGCATAGGACCCAGAGACATAAGCGGGAGAACTTTGAAATACGTGTCACGATCCTCGCACAGAAATCGGGAACACAAGCGCGCAAAACTCTCGAGGCGTTCTGGATTAATTCCTAGAATCCGAAAATGAACCGCAGGGAGGAATGCCTCGTTATCACGCGTGATATTGGACAGTATATAAACCTGTTATTCTGATGGGAGAGGCACATTACGCTTCCATGTGAATTCTGTGCGGTCGGTCTTCACACGACATACTCAGTGGAAGACTCATAGAAAGTGGTGAGTGTGCAGAGCTGTGTTCATGTAACTGAAATTTTGGTTCAGCATTTTCTCTGCTTGGTTATGGAGATGTTCGGCCGAATAGGTAGGTGTCAACTTGACCTTTCCAAGCTCTGAGGAAGGCGAAATCCGCCGAAACGTCAGCTTGTGCGAATAATGAAATAAGATAACACCTCGTGTTTGCTGAACAGAAGTAGAAAGAGTTACTCAATCAATGCCGAGGTTAATAGAAAGTCGGACCTGGGGGTTTTTTTTCATTCCATCAATGTTATCGTAGAAATTTCTTCTATGATGAACACTGATTGACTAGAAAGAACCACTAAAAATTACCGAGGTTATATTCAAGGGTCGCATTGTGACATTCCATTGTTCTCGTTTTGTTTTGCAAAGAATGAATGGAATTTTCTTCTTACGCGTGAAACAATTTGAAGAGTTCTTTTGTGAAGTGGATGAGCGAGCAATCCTGTAGTTTTGGCAACAACAGGAAGTCTCTCTACTAATCGCACGTTTTCATTCGCATGACAACACGACAAAGGATTTCTCTGAAGTACTTCAGAGTTCCGACAGAACTATGGGGGCGGATCCCGTCGCGTTGTTCTCGAGAAAGCCTGAACGAGAAGAGCGTTTTGTTTGGAGATCTGTGACGACGGTTGGAAGGGCGCTCTTCAAACACTCGCGGACTTCGCAAACATCATTTCCGTGCTGGCAATCCAGAGCTTGTCCGAATTGCAGCACTCGAAATATATGTTAAAGCAAACAGTAATAAGTTGAAATTTAAATCCAGAAATGCCACTAAAAGTAAATAGAATGGCATAACCCAATAAGAGGTTCGCAAAACCTTGAGAATATTGATTAACTACATGTAGAAGCTTTATCCAACAGGGTTTTTTCGGAAAACGCATTCATGAAGGTGAGCATGACAACGGATTTCCATAGAATTAGAACTTTGCTCCACACAACAATTGTTCCAAATTTGCTCTGCAACTTCCACACTTGTTGCATCCAATTCTTTTCTTGCATACATCATCCACGAAGGTTTTCTAACGTTTCGCGTACGACTTCGACTGGTACTCGTGGATTGTTCTCGTCTTCGTTACAAAGTTCGTTAAAAGCTGATCGAGTTGATTCTCGCGGAAGCCTAAAATAGCCGGACTGGAGCGTTTCCACTTAAACTGCAGAGACCCTCCAGACAAAACTGGTACCAATTTCCCGACATCGGAGAGGTGGAAGGCTGGGAACATCACTAACAGTGCGCTACCAGTTCCGTATAGCAGAGCTATAACACATAAATTAGCGCGGACATTGATTTCACTGCATGCCCTTGCCACCGGGTCACCTTCGCATAGAATTCTTCTTTCGTTGCAGTTTTAGCATTCAGTCGACAATCTCTGCAAAGATGTTATGCATGAAGTGATCCGTAAAAGCTCTTATCCATAACTGCCACGACCGACTTTCTATTAACCTCGGCATTGATCAAGTGGCATTGATCAGCTCTTATCCATACTTAATAATTTACAAAAGTTTTTTTTTGGATGAGTTTGTCAATGGCATCGTACGCATTGGCTTCCACACAGAAACTAGGCGTATTCTCGTGTACAGTGAAGAGTCGCCGCTACAAAAAACATCTGTACAAGCGCCTTAAATCTGTACGTTCTTGTGTCTGAAGAGATTTCTACTGTATATGCTAGCATATTTTGATCCGACTGGAAAGAGTTAGACAGCTGACGATACAAATTTTCATAGCATGAAGCAGGTAGGTGGAGGTATAAAAAGCACTGTAGGAAATACGAGCTAAAGGAGATCTTAAAAATATCGCCGAAGGAAGTCCTTTTCTAACATTTTCCCTGCTTTTCCACTCTTCCGACTTCTTTTTCCTTCTCTGAGCTGAAGTTATTGATATTGCTGTTATTTGAGGAATCAGTAGCCGATTTAGACCTACTCCGGCCTTTTCTGTGTCGTGATCAATCCATATAAAAGACTCCCCATCTACACGGATTCAGTGGCTCGGATGTTTATGGGTAAACGAAGGTGATTTTTTTCTGTTTATTGGTTTCATATCCATGGGATTTCCATACTAGAAAAGCATCCAAACTTTTTAACAAGTTTTTTACTGCGAAAATACTTGATTACGATACATGTTACTTTAAATTACGAAAGAAAGAGATGGGAAAGTGTAAAAATGAAAGAAGAACTGAAAGATTCGGAATTTTAAGTACAGAACCTTTCAAGGACAGAAATGCCACCGCACCTATTCGCTGTTTCTGATGAAGCCTTCCGTAATATGCTTCAGTACGATGAGAACCAATCGATGCTGATCACAGGAGAATCTGGAGCCGGAAAGACGGAAAACACCAAAAAGGTAAGAAGTCTCGGATTCAACGTTTTTGAGTTATGCTAAGAAGAACTTTATGAGAAGGAAGAGAGAAACAAAGACAGGGAGGGAGGGAGGGAGTGATGGAAAGGGAAAGAAAGAGAATGGGAGAGGACAAGCGAATTTACAAGTGAAGGCCGTTGAATTCCACTACTCTTAATGATTCATTAAAAAAGTGGTAGAGTATAGTGTAGTGTAGAGCAGAGTGTTAAAAGTATACATCGCTCATTCACGTTAGGAAGGGATTCCCTTACAATTGTGGGGTTCCCTTTAAATTAACAGTATAAGTTGTGCTAAAAAAAGGATTGATGTAAGTGTGTGCTTAAAAGTAGAAGGAAGTGGAACTGTTTTTCTCCTCCCACCGCAATGTCTTGATATTGAAAGGGCTTCATTCACCAATAATTGCCTTTTTTTGGAAGTGCCTCTGTCTGGGCTGAGCGAACTGTGTTGCAGAAACTAGAAAATCACGAGGAGATCCAAATTTTAGTGTAGTATAGTATGTATTTATAAATGCTATGTTTATTAACTTTCTGATAAAATTAACTGCTAAACAAATCAGGTTATCTCCTACTTCGCCGCTGTCGGTGCTTCTCAAATGGAGCAACTCGGTAGTAAGAAGGAAGGCGAAAAAGAGGTCACACTGGAGGACCAGATTGTACAGACAAATCCGGTGCTTGAAGCTTTTGGTGAGCTTTAACTTTATCAACAGTAAATTCAACAAAGAATCGATGTAGAATAATACTTCGAGCTTTCAAGATTTGGAAATATGATGAACAGAATGGTTAAGTCCAATAGCAAACTCGAGGGTTATCACAACGTGAAATTGCTGAACTTCCGTTCGATGTGCGTAAAAGCGTGAAGAGTTGATGAAAAATCATTCCATCTGTTAGACGACGGTCACTTTCTATAAATCCCTGTATATTCTTGCACTTCCCTCTAAAGATGTCTGAAAAGGAAGTTTCTAAAATTTTATGGGATTACAAAATATTTTTTGCCTAGCTAATCGTTTTGTCAGATTTTCGAATGGAGTATATCAAATCCTTTATTACCCACGTCTATTTGTCCCTTATTTCTCCACACCGCCGTCTATTTCAGCCCGATCATAAAGATGAAGTCAGCGAAGAGCCGTGTTTTCTTGTTAATCCTAAGGTTATAACCTCAACGATGCTGAGATATTTGAAAAACCCCAGACCGCAGGTGTCTGCGGTGGGGAACGAACGGGCTAATACCCTTTCCGGGGGCTAACGCGTTCACGACCACACCATACGTGTTTTTCGTTTCGCCTGCCTCTCAGCTAGTTTTGTCGATCAGTACCATCAGCAATCACCCATAAACGGGATTGATCTGGTGAGCCAGCATCAACATTGAACCCAGTTAAGCTGTGGCTGTAGTTTAGGCTGTATAACCCTGAGGTTATAGTTAAGTGAAGCGATTGAAGTGACGATACTGAACACTAAAAAGAACTTGCAACGAAATATTATTGTGTTCTAGACAAGGGCCGTGCTTATATATTCTGTGGCGGGTAGTAAAATTCATGGTGATTGTTAGCTTAGTAGGCGAGAATAGTTAAAATCGACGTTAATAGATCACATAATGGTTGTGCTGATTCAGGAAATGCGAAAACAGTGCGTAACAACAACTCGTCTCGTTTTGGTAAATTCATCCGGATCCATTTCTCGAAGCAGGGGCGAGTAGCATCTTGCGACATTGAGCATTGTAGGTTTCGGCTACATGTGATTCGAAAATATCTAGAAAACTGTCGGTGCTGCTAAAAGCCAGAGCGCTTTACTATTTAGGAATAAAAGCGTAAAGAATATCTTCCGGTGTATGACCCAATCCTTTACGGATGTGAAATATGTGTATCTCACTTTAACAAATCTTGTGGAGGTATTTAACGCATATTTGGCTCACACAGTGGTTCTCGAAAGCTTACCAATGCATCAAATCAGTGTTGCTATCTTTGCAAACAAGTTTTGCCGCAAACAGTCCACTCCGAAGGAATGTAGCACTTGGTTTCGTCGTGGCGCAGGACGGAACCGACGACCATACGTGTACCACGGGTCATCTCTATCCATTGTGCTGCACGAGCTATATGCCTGTTGATATTGCTTCTATTGTCTATTCTAGATTTGACTCACTAAATTTACTACTTTACTTCTATGTTTCTATAATGAGAACCCGCGAGTATTCCAACCGTAATAGCTGTCGCTACATTTAGTATAAAAGTCTACCCGTTATTTTTGTCACTGAAAATCTTTTAAGATCTTCTCGAGAAATCACGTGTGATCCGACAAGCGCCAGGTGAACGCTGCTATCACATTTTCTATCAGGTCTTTTCCGGTCACGTCCCGACCTTGACAAAGGTTTGAACTGTACCTAGAAAAAATTGCTAAGAATATAGCAGAATTTTGACTCTCAAGACTGCTTTTCTTAATTTCAGGATCTCCTACTCGACAAACCGGTGAAAGATTACCACTTTGTTGCGCAAGCTGAACTGAAAATCGATGGCGTAAACGACAAGGCGAGAACTCCACTTCTCTATTCCGTTTAAACACCTTCTCCGCTATAAAATAGAATTACTAGAAAAGTAATTAAACGATGAGATTCGATATGTTAAAGTTAGTGCAACTGAAAAACACCAGTGGAAAAAAATGATTGAACTGAAAAAAAATTTCTTTTAGGAAGAGCACCAACTGACAGACGAGGCTTTCGACATATTGAAGTTCAGCGCTGAAGAGAAGATGAACTGCTATAAACTAGTATCGGCTATGATGCACATGGGTAACATGAAATTCAAGCAACGTCCTCGTGAAGAGCAGGCTGAAACCGACGGCACTGACGGTGAGCCCTGCCAACAAAAGTATTGCGTTGCGGAAAAGTAAAATAGGAGTGAAAACATGTGATTCCACACTTGTTCCAAAATAAGCACATACATAAAGTTGGGAAACGAAACCACTCAAGCTTTTCAAGAAACTTGTCTCATTCTGGAAAAAAAACCATACAACTTACTAGGTTACTTGGACCGCCCGTCCTCACTGGCTTTACGGACTCCAGTATAGTCTCCATTCTTCTGAGTTTTGCTGGTTTAGCTATTGTGGTTTCTTGGAGTTCCGAAGTCAGTTTGGCCAAAGTCTGCCCCATGTCGTCACCAACAGAGGCAGTCGCTGCCTTTATGGATCAGAGGAATATTTGCCATCATGCGACTACTTTGATACCAGAACGGTTGTAGATTCTGGCATTGGTTTACTCTGGTCAGGCTTCCTGATGGAAACGCTGGACTCCTTCTCACCTTGAGAGACCCTACTGGGGGATGAATTTTCCCGCTGTACATTGCAGCCCAATATCCAGAAACACCTCCCAGCCGAAATGAGGCGGTAAACCGTTGGGAGGTCGAAAAAATCATAAAAAGAAGAAACATTCCAATATTCGGCTAGAGCAGAAAAGCTTTTTATTGACGAAAGACTAGGCCTTCAGAGACGTTATAACCGGCTATCGATTGGTTTATGTTTTTTTAATCTGAAAAAAATGAACATTAATATCAATTGGCTTTCATTTAAGAGCGCCTGAAACGAATAGGTGAACAAGGGGCACAACATCAAGCCTTAAAGGCCATTTTGCTGTGAATTTTACTAGTTAACAGATATTAACTTTTGACTGAGTGCTATCAATGTGTACATTGCGGGTATAAAATTACACGAAGCTTTTACTTTCTACTTTTCCACCTTTCTATTTTTCCATTATAGAAGCTGAGCGCGCTGCTGCCATGTACGGTGTTGAACATGAAGATTTCCTGAAAGCTTTGATGCGACCACGAGTGAAAGTCGGAAACGAATGGGTGAACAAGGGGCAAAATCTTGAGCAGGTAAGCTCGCCGTAGCCTTACAAAAGAACATCCCTGTAAACTTAAATTGAGGTAGAATCATTCTTAAGCCGTCAGTGTCATGTAATAAAACCTACGTTTGTCTGCCGCTACCACATTGTGATTTTGCAGAATAAGTGGTCATTTCTGTGTTTCATTTATTGACACTGGAAGAGAGTCTTAGGTAGAAAATCTGCCTTCTAGGATAGAGAATCAAGCGGAAGTGTCAGCAAATCGCATGCTAGAAACAACATTCCAACTGGTTACCTTACGGGAGGCGTTTGATGAACTAAAACTCTCCCAATGTACAACATCTGAAAAGCTAAAAAGAGCGGTTTCGTCTATGAAAAATGGATGAAATGCAGAGTGCATGCCTTTTTTCAGGTTACGTGGGCCGTTGGTGCCATGGCCAAAGGACTTTACTCACGTGTTTTCCATTGGCTGGTAAAGAAATGCAATCAGACGCTCGACAAGAAGGGTATACCTCGTGACCACTTCATCGGTGTACTTGATATCGCCGGCTTCGAAATTTTCGACGTCGGTTTCAGCAATTCTGATTGCCAATTTTTGTTGCCTGTATTTTCTTCTGCTTTTGATTAGTTTCGAAATGCTTAATATTATCTTGACTTTTCGCTGATTTTTTTTGCAATTTCTTTAGTCACGATAGGCAATAACTTCCATAAACAAGGTTAATAGAATTTTCTGTAGTCTTCAATTTTATTGCTCCTTACGTAGTCATTATGGGCGCGTGTGGCGCAGTCGTCGGAGGCGCCCTGCAACACACACGTGGAGTCGATCTCCACACCCATGGCCCACCAAGCCTTCCATCTCTTTGGGGTTGGTAAATTGGTATCAGACTTGTCTGGGGGATGGCAGCACTGGCTCGCACTAAAATAAACAGCACTAAAATAGAGTTTTGTCCTCTATTTTATCTTTCCATAGTCATTATTATACACGTGTAAGCCAACGCGAGTCATTTTAAAGTCCAGATATGCATTTCATAACCTCCAAACGATGCATAATGAAATGGAATGCATGGTGCATCCCTCAGAGATTGAGCAACGCCGAGAGTTTTGTCCTCTATTTTATCTTTCCATAGTCATTATTATTCATCGTTTTTGAATTGGTCGTGCAGGCATGCTGTAGATGACGGCAAACTTAACATTGCAGAACGACAGTTTCCATAAAAACCGTGTTCATATGGATTTAATTCAGCTTTCATGCCAGGCAATATTTCAGTTCAACTCTTTCGAGCAGCTGTGGATCAATTTTGTGAACGAGAAACTACAGCAGTTCTTTAATCATCACATGTTCGTTCTGGAACAGGAGGAGTATGCTCGTGAAGGAATCCAGTGGACGTTCATCGATTTCGGTCTGGATCTGCAGGCGTGCATCGAGCTCATCGAGAAGGTGCGTAAGACGCGAGTAGAAAAAGCTTTTCGGTCCAAATCGATAAAAAGAACAAAGTTGTACAACAGAAGGTTTTCAAATTTTGTTCTGCGTAGATCTAACAGATCACAGTGACTTTTGTAGAAAAAATAAAGTCATGGAAACGAGCACTAGAAAACCAGTTCGATCCTGCTACGGTGGCCTGACTTTTAAATCCGCGGTGTAGAAAAAGAAGCTGTGCCATTGAATGCACAATGAAAGTGGAAGTAAGTAAGCATTGCATGCAGATTAATAACTAAGTCATCTGTTCAGCCTCTCGGTATCATTTCGATGTTGGACGAGGAGTGTATCGTTCCAAGGGCCTCCGACACAACGCTGGCACAGAAACTGATTGAACAGCACCTCGGAAAACATCCGAACTTTGAGAAACCCAAGCCTCCAAAGGGCAAGCAGGTAAGCTCCACTCATCAACGTTATCATTCGGAGCTTTTATGCTCTACTATGGCTCGGTCTGCTCATTGATCGTATAATGTAAAAATGAAACGAAATTTCCCGTTAGCGCAAGTCAATGTGTTCTAACGAACATTTTTCAAGAAAACATTACGGAAAGGCAAGTAGTGGGCGCTTGGAATGCTTAGAATGGTGTAAGAGAGGCTAATCGAGTCATTTTCGTGGTGAAGTAGCGGGAACAGTGCAAAAGAAGTCGTCCATTTCATCAGGTGGCAATTCCTTGTGGTACTAGGATGCTTCAGAATCACATGCCATGAAGAGAATCAAACTACAACCGCATCTTTACAGTGCTCATTAAACTGACATATTTTTGGCTGTTTGAAAAGTATTTGTTTTTATTGAGCCCAAGGTCTGTATCGTCATTCACAAGTTATGGCTTGAGCTTAAGCTTGACTAACACAATAAAAACACGTTCCATAGAAATATCAGTTTAATCACTTAGTAGCTCTAGCGATGGCTAAAAGTTGGTAATTGTTTTCCGGTCTCGAGTTCTGAAATGGTGGTGTGCTTGATTACAGTCGGAGGCTCACTTCGCTATGAGACACTACGCTGGCACTGTTCGATACAACGTGACGAACTGGCTGGAGAAGAACAAGGATCCCCTTAACGATACAGTCGTGCAGGTGATGAAGAACTCGAAGAAGAATGCGCTGTTGGTCGAGGTTTGGCAGGACTACACCACCCAAGAGGAAGCTGCTGCTGCCACCAAGGGTAATCGTTAAAATCTATTACGAACTGTTTTTATGAAGATGTCTACTTATCGCTTCTCAATGGTGGAATGGGACGCTCGAGAGTTCTCACATTCTCATATCTTGATTCTTCTGAAAAATTTATTGTTTATTTGTTGGGAGTCATCTTATAGTCTCCCATGTAATTTCGAATCACCATGGAACGTAGGGCAAATTGATTTACTGGGTATCTGTATGAATGTGCATGAGTTTACACTCAAGTACGGTATACACCCGGTTAACGCACGACGCCCCACCCGAGATGCATTGGAGACAATGCATCCGATTCAAAATAATGGCCACCCTCACCTCATAGGCAACATTTTTCAGCTCATATTAAATTTCACAAATCTGGATAAAAACCTTCAGAATCAACAGATTTTTACCTTCGAGATACAAGTAGCCTGAACAAATTTTGATTTATGGAGTTCATAGGACATATTTTTTTTCCATTTTATCGTGTCAAGGGTTATATTTCGAAAACACTTGAACAAGCGGCATTTCGTTCAACGGCACATAATGGTACTCCGGGATGTATCGCTTTTATTTGCAGCTGCTGACCTCGCGCTAGAAATTTCGAAAATTTGGCCTACATTTCAAGTTTTTTCCCGCACTTTTTTGGTTTATTCGTATTCAGGTGTCAAAGAGTACCTGTATAAAAACTGTGCATTCAACTGACAACAGGGCAAGGTTTCCTATATACTGTGAAATCCGCAACTCCTCGGATGCTCTAGTGATGGAGCATACTTCAACAGTTGTTGAAGTACCAGCTTCGGGATTTGTGTGTTATTCAGTGTTGGAAGAACGTAGTTTTGTTAATGGGCGGCTCAAGCTCATCGCATGAAAGAGACCCATAGAAATAGTCATAACTAAGTGTAGTCGCAGTGAGCAACAAAAAACCGTTTTAATATTTTAACTTAATTTTTTAATAATTAATTTAATAGTATTTTAATTTTTTAATTCACGCGAATAGTATTATAGGGTTCGATGTGCTAAGTCGTTCACAAGAAGTCTAACTTCTTATACATTACTATTTCCATGTAAATTTCCGCTTTCACACATAATCCACAACGTTTGGAAGCAATCATAGTCTCACTTGCTTTTCATGCAGGCAATTCCGCCACCAAGAAGAAAGGAAAATCGAGCTCGTTCATGACGGTCTCAATGCTCTATCGGGAGTCGCTGAACAACCTGATGTGTATGCTGAACAAAACTCATCCACACTTTATCCGCTGTATTATTCCAAACGAGAAGAAACAATCCGGTGAGCATAAAACTACTCTGGTCATTTCCTACGTTCTATTCTTCTCATATGCCAATGTTGAAAAACTAGATGAGCAAAAACTATTAACGACTTTGTGTCGCTCATAAGTTCAGACACTTCTGTCGACAGTTTTGAAGGAGATCCTTAAAAATACGACATTACATAGCTTTAGAGCTCATGTAATACTCTTTTTGAATTCTACACTTGTCATTTCCACCCAGTGAGAATTCGATCGGTGGATTTTTCGGGCAACAGCGTAGACAGCCTAATCAATCCAATTTTTCAAGTTGTAGGATAATCATTGTGAAAAATAAGTAGATTTATAACTACAACGGTGCTGAGATATTCGCAAAACTTGGACTCCGGACCAGATCGAACCACGATTACCGTTTCCGGAGGCTCGTGTATGGGAAAGGGTAATTGTGGTTCGATCTGGCCCGGGGTCCAAGTCTTGCGAACATCTCACCATCATTGTGATTTTATTTCACACCAAACTCTACCGTGAAAGCTTAATTGGAGTTATTTCTTATTTTAGTGACAGAATCTGTAAAGTAAACATCAATAGGATGTTGAAATATGTCAATGTCCACTGTTCAATACGGTCCTTCTACACGAATTATTAGTAGCATGATAGAAAATTGGATCCCGTTGCAGGAATTATCGACGCCAGCTTGGTGCTGAATCAGCTTACTTGCAACGGAGTGCTAGAGGGTATTCGCATCTGCCGTAAAGGATTCCCGAATCGTACCCTTCATCCGGACTTCGTTCAGCGATACGCTCTTCTTGCCGCCGACGAAGCTCTACAAGGAAAAGAGGATCCCAAGGTCGGATGCAGAGATCAAAATTCTTTCCACTATTTTAACTTATTATTTACTGCCTACTCTTTTTAAAGGCAGGGTATATATTGCGAAATAGAACTTCAATGATGCTGAGATATTTGTAAAACTCCGAACCGCAGGTGTCTGCCGTGGGGAACGAACGCGCTATTGTCCTTTTTTGGCGAGTAACGCGTTCACCACCACACCATGCGGGTCCTTCGTTTCGTCTGTCTGGAGTTTTGTAAGTATCTCAGCATCATGGAAGTTATTCTTCCCACTATTAGACTTGTCCTATCATAGTCGTGTACTATTCCTCACTAGTCCTTCGCATACAATATTTAGTCAAGTGTAGAATTATTTACGTCTTTAAATTATTAATTTCTGTAGGTTTTTGTCCCAAAGAAAGAAAGGAATAAGGATATTTTGTAAGCAAGCTGTTAATGGAGAACGCGAATAGAGTTCATCCGTTTTCAGAAGGCAGCAACCGCTATGTTGGCTCGTTTAGTGAAAGAAAGGAAATTGACGGACGAGAATTTTCGAGTCGGTCACACGAAGGTCTTTTTCAAGGTTTGTTTGATGTATTCAGTTCTAAAGTCACAACTCGCATTCGGAAGGGGAGTATATTTTTTGCTGGGACATTTTCTTTCGAGTATATTTAGTGAAAATAAAACAAAAATGGGCAACTACACACAAGTCTTGGGTCTTCACCATTCGTACTTCCAAATTCTGCAGAAGCATAAGTGGTACTAAAGGATATTGATGCTAAACCTCTAGTTGTCAATCTTACAATAAAATTAGTTTTCTTTTCTAGTTAGAAGTACTTATAGCTTCAAAGGAAAGTAAACGACTAATATTGGAGTTTTGCAGGCCGGAATCGTAGCCTACCTTGAAGATTTACGTGACACTCGTCTCGCCCAACTGATCACTGGATTCCAGGCTCAGATCCGATGGTACTATCAAGTGGTTTGTTTTCAAATTCCACCAGTGTGCCTATGGTTCGGCCTGTATATATACGGTTGTCTACTGATTCTGAAAAGTTGTTAACACTCATTTGCAATGAATTTAGTGAGAAATTCTTTGGTTAACGAGATAAGAGTAAGCCAAACAATCCAAAGGTATTTAAAGAGATCAGAGTTCAGCTTGAAAAGAAACGACTCGTGAAGTTCATCGCAGCGGTGAAGAGCATTCAACGAAGCATCCGCAACTATGTTATGCTCCGAACGTGGAGCTGGTTCAAACTATACGGCAAGGTGAATTTGTCTGCTTTCTCATCTTCAGAATTCATTCTTCTTTTCTTCACAGATTTAAAAAGCACTATTACTGAATCAAGCAAATTCGGAGAAGCACGACTGTTCCATCAGAACAGCTGCAGAAAGAAAGACTCAAACAAAGGAAAATAAAGTTTAGTAACTTGGAGAAACTATATCCTAGTCAAATGCTTAAGGCTGGGTAGAAAGGAAATCGGGCGCGTGTTCAAGTTAAGAAAATTCCTAATGAACAGAATTTAAGGCAAAACGCGTGTAACTTCGTATTAACACTTTCGCCATGAAGGTGGTTTTTGCACAAGTTGCAATGACTTTTCTATCAATGAAGTATTTAAGAGGCTTAGAACTTCACAGATTTATATAGGCCGCTTAAGGGACGCATATAACGCAGTGGTCGTAGGCGCCACTACATGCGTAATACACATGAGATCAATCCCCGCGCCCGTGGCCCAATAAGCCTTCCATCTCTCCGGGGTCGGCAGATTGGTACCGGACCTGTCTGGGAGGATAGCAGCACTAACTCGATACATTGGTAGACCATCGCGAGTCATGGTAAAGAGTAGATATGCATTCAATCATCTCTAACGATGCCTAATGATGGCGAATGCATGGCGCATCCCTCAGGAATTGATCAACGCCGAGAACTTTGTCCTTTTATCCTTTATAAGACACTTTGCTCTATCGAACTAGTCGTGCACGTAATTTTATACCTTACGTTTTCGAAGTTTAGTATGCTTAGAATCAGGATTTTCAAAAAGCGGAGAGTAAAATTTAAAAGTATTAAAATCTTCGAGGCAATAGCGACAGCTGCAAACATAAACAATAAGTTCCGAAACGCCATCGTGTGCTGCTAGACGAAATTTTTCGAAATGCCTGTATTGAAGCAAAAAAGTGGAAGAAATACGTACCATGGGCTTCAGAAGATCAGAAATTCATCGCGATGGAGCGAGAGCCCTTTTGTCCTGTAGGCAAAGATTTGCATATTCTAATAGTTCCATTTCAATTAGTAGAAATTACTATGAGCTGAGATATGTGGATTTGGACCAACGGCGGCCATCCATTAATTTCAGATTCTATGACTACCACTGTGGTGGGGTGGAGGTGGGGCTGCTGAAGGGAGGGTGCTTGAATTAGAGCATGTTTACTAATCATGATCGGGTCAAATTTGTTTTATAAGGAAAGATTTGTTTACTTTAGTAAAATTTCAGTCACAATGATGCTGAGACATTTGCGAAACTCCGAGCCGCAGGTGTTTGCGGTGGGGAGCGAGCCAGCCATTGTGCTTACCGGGGAGTAACGCGTTCACCACCACACCATGCGGGTTCTTCGTTTCGCCTGTCTCTCAGCTAGTTCTATCGATCTCTGCCATCAGCAATCACCCGTCGACGGGCTGATCTGGGGAGCCAACATCGGCGTTGAACCCAGTTAAGCTGAGGCTGCAGCTGAAATCACAATTTTTCATATCTATCTTTTAAACTGCCATGAAAACTTGTACTAGGCAGCAAACAAAAAGTTAACATTGTGATTCCAACTGCAGCCTCAGCTTAACTAAGTTCAATGCCGATTTGTAGTGCACAGATCAATCTCGTTGGCGGGTGATTGCTGATGACAATGATCGATAAGACTAGCTCAGAGACAGGCGAAATAAAGAACCAGCATGGTGTGGTTGTGACCGAATTAGTACCCGGAAAAGCTGATAGTGCTTTCATTCGCCACCGCAAACATATGGGGTCCAGAGCTTTGCAAATATTTGAGCATCATTGTAGTTGTATAATACATGCATAATACACATAATGCCCCGCTGTGAGAAAGATGTAAAAGGCAGTAAATAAAAGTTAAAATAGTAAAATTTTAACTAAAAAATGAACCTCGTATTCAGTTGCCTTCTGTCTTTAGCCTGGTTCTTTTTTTTTAAAAATCCGAATGTGTCTCGATGTGTACCATTTAAAATTGTGAGGCTTTCCGCACGCGGCACGCTTTTATTTTAAACTGACGTACCCAATTTTTAACCAATGACGGCCATGCGTCGTTTAGCGTGGCTCTCCGAATGGAATGCGAGCAATTTTTCATTGACTGCGGTCTATCTGGATCTTTTGGCACTTAAAAAACAGCTTCTCAATAACTAGAGCGTTTACGGAGTTGTGAACATGGCAGAATTGTAGAAGAGGCTTCGCTCTATCGCTCTGTGGGCATGAATGATATATATGCTACTATTATTAATATTTGTTACATACTAATATTATTATTTTTTTATTAAAAATAATATTAATATTTGCTGTACATTACTATGGCCCGCTATGCAAACGCAATGCTGTTAGCACTTAAAAATATTTACGGTTTGTTTTGAGTCTATTTAGATGCTGTTTATATCTGCACATTCCATACAGTGACAATAAAAGGATAAAGGATAAAGCTCTCGGCGTTGATCAATCCCGAGGGAGGCGCCATGCATTCGACTTCATTAAGTATCGTTTGGAGGTGATTGAATGCATATCTGGTCTTTACAATGGCTCTCGGTGGCCTACCAATGTATTGAGCCCAGCGCCGCTATCCTTTCAGACAAGTCCGGTACCAATTTGCCGACACCGGAGGGATGGGAGGCTTGGCGGGCCATTGACGTGCAGATCGATTCCACGTGTGTTTTGCAGGGCGCCTCCGACCACTGCGCCACACGCGCCGTTTACAGTGACCATAGTGATTAAAATGAAGAATCGGCAAATTTTTGGTCATATTACTGGTCGATGAACTTTTTTTCGGCAAAAGTTTTTCTGCAAATCATTAGATGTCGAGAGTGGTTTGTCTAGGCTCGCCCTTACTATTCTGATCTGCTTTCGATTCACCATCGAATGAATACACAATGCGGTAAATAAGATTTTTGAGCGCACTAAATTGAAAATGGCGACTATAGTGTCCATACCGTTCTTTGATCCAAAGGTATATGGACACTACAGTATCCATGCCAAGCTTTTTGCGTTAAAGAGAATAGAGGCGGTGGTGAAGGTTTTTGCAAAGATAAGTACAAAATGAAGAAAGCACTAAAAGTTGAGGAGCGGAAGCATCAAAAAATCTTGTTACCTTTATGAAACTACTGTTCAATGGCTCAAAACGATGGTTATTTGGACATAAATTGTTACATACTGATGTGCATTATAACGGACAACACAAAACGTAAGCTTTTCTTTAGATTGACCTGTGAATGAAAGATGACCTTAGACCGCAATATTGAAATGCGAAGACTTAGCTCAAACTCAATTTCACTTTTAGTCTGATAACAAAAAAATCCCGCAATTCCTGAATCTACCCATTCTCTGATTGCGTTTTCAGCAGCGGCCTGGTTTTTTTAAAGGCGTTTTTTGGATGCAGTTATCGTGATGTTTGTGATAGTCTGTTATCAATGGGTCAGTTGGACCCAGTCGATGAGGCAGCGTTTCGTAACCCAACACGCTCAACTTCTTCAGCGTTAGCTGCGGAACGTGTGTCGCTACTTTTGACGGCTTTCATCGAATTGGTGAATGTACAACCCTAGACTGTACAAACTGGCTAATCATTGTTAACTGGATAAAGCCAACTTTTTCTCTAGCCTCTTGTAATGCTTTTCAAAGGTCTACTTCGATTACTGCCTTCCGATGGTCGCCATCTAGTCATGCGTCCCCGATGTCCTTCATAAGCAAGCCTTACGTCGCCAGCATGAAACTTTTCGAACTATCTTATCGAAGCTATGCATTCTGAAGCGCTTCCCTTGTCCTATCGGTGAAATTTCGAGTTCTTTTTTTTTCGAGCACACGGAAAGTTTGAAACCGTGACTCAAGAGGACGCAAATATTTTTGCCTTGAGGACATCGTTCAACGAGCCTCTAGTCCTTTTTACTTTAATGTTTGGAAGAGTATTACAGTACAAGGACACGTGTGTTAAAGGTGCCCTGCAGCACACGTAGGGTTGCACGCTTGTTGGTTTGCTGGTGCATCTCGGGTGACTCACGAACTTCTCCATCATTCCGGATCCGGGAATCGTTCCAGACCTGTCTGAGAGGATAAAACCGCTCTCATAAGTCATTGTATAGGGCAGATACACATTGAGTCACCTAAGGCGATACTTGACGAAATCGAATGCACGGCCCATCTTTAAGTGAGTGGTCAACACCGACAGTTTCATTCTTTCTTATCCTTTACTACATCGTGACTAGTTAGGCTAGAAATATGCTTCGAAGTAGAATGTGAAATGAGAAATAACTATTTGTTTAAAATAAGAAATGCGACACGACTCCTGTGTGCTGGTTTGTGATCGTGAATATATCCGGACATGGAAAAGGAGGCGAAGGTCTTGGCAAAGGGAAAGCTAAGCGCTGTCGTAAAGTGCTCAGGGACAACATCTAGGGAATCACCAAGCCGGCACTTCGTCATTGCGCTCATCGTGGTGGCATGAAACGGATCTCAGAACTTGTCTAAGAAGAAACTCGTGGAGTACTGAAAGTGTTGCGGAATATGTTTCCAAGAATCGTAGCTACGAAATCGGCCGTGATCTTGGCAATTATTCCACGTTATTGTTCCTTGGCTTACTACACCTCAAAATATGTGATGTCCCTCTCTAAAATATTCGGTGTGAATTTTTTAATTCTTTGCATTAGCACAGTTGAATAATAAGGAAAAGGTCTTTAGCCTTATTTGCTATCAGTAACACTTTCTCGTAGTTAAATCTTGTAGGTGAAACCACTGATTCAATCCGGCAAGATCGAGGAGCAGTACGAAAAGCTGCAAAATTCGGTAGCAGCTCTCAAGCAGACGCTGATAAAGGAAGAATCAATGAAGCTGCAACTTTCCGAAAATACCGAGAAAATTCAGAAGGAAACCGCTGAGTTACTCGCTCAGCTTGAAGCTACAAAGGGAAGTAACACGGTAGGCGGCATTTCTCGCAGAGTAGGCGGTACTCATGTAAAAACACTCTCTAGAGTGTATTTTTTTAACTTTACAATTTTCTTCACTTGACATCAGTCTTGGAATGGAAGATTTGAATGCCTGCCTACATTTTTGAAGAGAAATCCATTGGAAAGACAATTTCGTTAAAATGCTTCGTTTACCAGTTATGTTCTTTCATGTGACAAAGGGATCGTTTTCCCCAGATTCTGGATAGCAGCCAGTTTCCCAAAGTATTTGCGAATTTCTTAACTTCGTTTTTTGGTTGTTCCAGGAAATCGAAGAGCGCATGGCAATCATGAGCGAACAAAATGCGGCGCTGGAAGTAAAATTGGCTGATGCCGGGGCTCGCCTTGAAGCTGGAGAAGCGGCAGCCGTTGAACTTCAAATGGAGAAGAAACGAGTGGAGAGTGAATGTTCCGAGCTTAAAAAACACTGTCAGGTGAGAACAGTATTTATTGAACTTGACACCAGAAGATAAAATATTCCTTTACCTATATGAGTATTTGAAATTGTTGTATGAAGCAGAAGGGAGTGTACAGAAACTCTCAGAATAAGTGGCATCGTTATTTATTCACGGATTAGATCATTGGACTCTTAAAAAGATCTATTCTTATGGTTGGTGCTTGAAAGTCCTAAACGAGTCATCATCGTTTCATTCTTCATCTCCTACTTCTCTATTTTCCTCATCATCCAACAGCATCTAGTATCGGTTGACCAGTAATTGATAGGGCCTGATAGAATTTACGCAAATTTGGAACTGGTGATCGTATTCTCATGATTTACCACATCATACTATTGCTCCAAACCTTCGCGCAGTATTGATATATTATACTGACAAAGCACTTTGATTACCTGCCTTCACACATGCAGATCCCAGTATTTCTTTTAACCGCTTCAATATTAGAAAACCATCTACGGAAGTTGTACGTGGCTTGTATATGGCAACAGCTCTAGTTTCCTCTTTTGTCATCAACATATTTAATGCTAGCTAAGTGCGATTTCTTTAAAACCTTAACCTGGTTAGGTTACGGCGATTTTAAGTCGTCACCGTAAACAGACGACATTTATGTAAATCGACGTGAAACACAACCGTTTAGATAGATAGAGAACTTTTCACAAGGAAAACCTTCCAAAATTTGTGCATCGAAGAAAAACGCGCTGTTTTTCGTCCTAGATTTTCCTTTAGAACGGCGGTGATTCCTGCTGCTAATCAATTGGTCGAGTACTGCCTCCAATCCTAGGATGAGTTCTTTTCAGGAAATCGACATGGCACTTCGTAAAAGCGAGGCCGAGAAATTGAGTAAAGAGCATCAAATCCGTTCGCTACAGGACGAAATGCACCATCAGGATGAAGCCATTTCGAAACTTCACAAGGAACGTAAAAACCAAGAAGAGAGCAATAAGTGGGTATAGTCAACCTGCAGAGCGAGGTGTTCTGGAAGAGTTCCTTTCATTTCGTAGAAAAGATTTCTAAACTGTAGTTGCCTCAGATTTTGTCTCGATTAACCAATTAACCTAGTCCCTAACCAACCAAGCAGCTAGTGATTTTTTAATATTGATTGTGGATATGTCAAGTTTCCGACGAAATATTGTAACTTCACTTCAATGATGCTGAGATATTTGCAAAACCCTGGGCCGCAGGTGTCTGCGGTGAGGAACGAAAGAGCTATTGTGCTTTCCGGGGAGTAGCGCATTCACCACCACACCATACGGGTCCTTCGTTTCGCCTGTCTATTAGCTAGTTCTGTCGATCGCTGCCATTAGCAATCACCCGTTAACGGGATTGACCTGGGGAGTCCAAATCGGCATTGAACCCAGTTAACCTGAGGCTATAGTTATAATCACAATCTTAACCTTTCTATTCACTGCCTATTCTTTTTAATAGCAGGATATGTTGCGAAATATAACTTTTATAATGCTGAGATATTTGCAAAACTCCGGAGTGCAGCGGTCTGCGGTGGGGAACGAACGCGCTATTGTCCTTTCCGGGGAGTAACGCGTTCACCACCACACCATGCGGGTCCTTCCTTTCGCCTGTCTCTCAGCTAGTTCCATCGATCACTTGCCATCAGCAATCATCCGGCAACGGGTGAGAGAGTGGCGAAACGAAGGACCCGCATGGTGTGGTGGTGAACGCGTTACTCCCCGGAAAGTACAATAGCGGGTTCGTTCCCCACCGCAGGCAGCTGCGGTCCGGAGTTTTGTAAATATCTCAGCATCATTGAAGTTATATTTCACAGTATACCCTACCATTAAAAAATAGGCAGTAAATAAAAGGGTTAAGAATGTGTTTATCGTAACTTCGCTTTTCGGCTTTGGTATTGCACTTTGGTTTGCTTAGTGACCTTAGTTCAATTGCAGATCATTTTAAGCTTGCCTCACAAATAGGATGATGTATGGGTCATATGTCACTCATAATGCTGCCAATCTGTTAAACTATAGAAGATTAAGCTCATAAACCATGACTTCAATTCCATATCATCCAACGAATCCAAAAACCATCACTGCCTGAGCTGTGAATTAGGATTGTTCACATGTAATTGCGAGAGTACATTTTCAGTTACTTAGTGACGAGTGAAATTTATATTAAGGAAATTAAACGAGGATCTGCACGCGGCTGAGGAACATAACATGGCGTCGAGCAAACTAAAGGCAAAACTTATGCAGACACTGGAGGAGTCCGAAGCTACGCTTGAGCGAGAGAAGAGGAATCGAGCAGACATGGACAAGGTTATTTAGCTTGGAACTTCATAACACTACTTAGGCACTTGTGTCTTTAGAAATATACCCTTACTGAAGATCTATTCTTAACCTTTTTATTTACTGCCTATTATTTTCAACGGCAGAGTATGTTGAGAAGTATAACTTCTATAATGCTGAGATATTTCAAAACTCCGGATCGCAGATTATAGAAGTCTAATTACAGTTAAAACGAAAGACCGAGGGCGATTTGAAGATCGCTCAGGAAACGATCGACGAACTGTCAAAAGCGAAGAGCGACGTGGAGAGCAGTCTAAGACGGAAGGAGACAGAGTTACATAACGTAGGCATGAAACTCGAAGACGAGAAGGCTGCAGTCGCCAAGTTGCAGAAAGCCATCCAGATAGACGAAGCTAAGATTAAGGACCTTTACGATCAGCTTGCTGACGAGAAGGTACTTAACTTTGCACCCAGATTCTTTGCTTTCTTTTATCCTCTGGAACCATCTGGATCTAAACAAATGAATTTGTCATGATATTGACTCCAAACGAAGCCAAGTAGAAACCCATCTTTCATTGCAAATAATCATTTGCTACTTTCTGTCTTCTCCTTCTCAGCATCCGGTAGAAAGTACTAATTTTCTGCATAATGTCGTCAGACCAGACTCAAAAGTGTCGTGTCCATCGCTTCACTTCCAAATGCACATCACGCACTACTGAGAGAAATTTGGTGGACGGCTAGATTATATAGGAATACCAAGTAGTTAAGATGATTCGGTCGGAGTTTGCTGCTCGCCTTTGTGTATGCCACGCGGGACTTCTTGTAAGTAGCAGTCACAATGCCGGAAACCTCAAACTTGGGTAATTAAACCGTTTATCATAATTATACTACAATTATGGCATAACAATACAACTGTACAATTAATACAACAATGATACGGGCTGTGAGTAGGCGTAACCTGATCACTGATGTTCAGGTTGCTCGTGACTGAAGAGATTGGGATAACGGCACAACTGTGTAATTAATGCAACGATGATATAGGTAATACAATACTGTGTGATATTTGGCGATATGTAAGCTGGGTGGATAAAGATGGAATTGAGATGGTAACAAGTGATATTCGGCGATATGTAAGCTGAGTGGATAAAGATGGAATTGGGATGGTAACAAGTGATACACTTGAAGGAAATAACGCGGACACTGGTGTTGGGGCACTAAGGAATTGAGGGATCGGAAGCAGACCATTCGAACACGGCTAAGATTTCAGGACCAGTCCTATGGGCTGCCTGTATTACATCTGAAGTGGGTGGAGCTTTGCTAGAGGGAACTGAAGGCGGCGTCCAGAGAGGGGTTGCATGTGGAATGGTGCAGGTGTCTGTTCGGAGACTTTTTTGGAGCGACAGATGCTGAAAAGTGCATTCAGCTGGCTGCTGCTGATTCCCTTTCCAGCCACCTGCGAGGCAATTGCATGAAACGGTTGTTAAGAGATGATTTACTGAATGTGCAAGGATAGATGTATGACGATTACGAGTAGATAGGTGTTGTAGAAGGCATAATGTTATAATTGTTCTACATAGAGAACATTCCAATATTCGTGGAGAATGTTCTCTATAAGAAAGTCGTCCCTTAGTTGTGTGGAAACTAGTAATCATTATCTACTAGCGATTAGCGCTTGAGGGATAGAAACCGATTTTTAAAAAAATGAAAAAGGCAGCATTGCAGTAGTCCGAAAATACAAATTGTTCTGCACATTTTAGGAATCTCGGCAACGGGCTGACCGGGCGCGATCCGAGCAACAACTAGAATACGATGAGTTGATCGATCAACTCGACAATGAGAGTCGTGCCACGGCCGCAGAGATCGAGCTGGGCAAGAAGAAGGTCAGTGCTCAGCCAAAGGTGTCGAAACTAAAGAGCAAGGAAACGAAAAGAAATTCAAAGACACATTCCATCTATCAACTCACGTTGAAAAGTCAGTGACGCAATATTTGGAAGTAATTAAGACAACTATTAATCAAATATTGACGTCAATGGGCGCAAAAAGTCTACATGCACCAAAAATTGCTCTTTTTCTACTGCAGCCAAAAGCTGTTCTTCCTGGAATACTCTGAATAGGCCTGGAAGACTCAGAAATCGAAGGCAGTTTCGCTAGGTTGGAATGAAGAATAGTGCTTTCGAGAAGTACACCTGTTTAAGACTGTTGAACAAGTCATTTAAAAAATTAGACAGTTGTTAATTATTTGAATGATGTGGCGAAGTGTTATTCTACGAGCACAGCACTTCTGCTTTCAGGACATGGAGGTAGCTAAGCTTCGTCGCGATCTCGAAGAAACTGGACTGAAATTCGAGGAGCAGTTGAGTACGCTGAAGAAAAAAGGCGTTGACACGGTTCAGGAGTTATCTGAACAAGTTGAGCAGTTGCAAAAACAAAAATGTCGTGCCGAGAAGGAGAAGGCGCAGATGCAGCGAGAATACGATGAGGCGTCCAGCGCTCTCGACCAGGTGGCCAAAGCTCGCGCCGAGCTTGAACGTATCGCCAAGCAGCACGAAGTGCGTCTGCAGAACTACTTTTTGAATATGATGATTACTGTGTATAGTTAGAGAAAAATGGGCACAAATTTATAAACTCCTAGTAATGTTCACTATGATGAGGGGTAATTCATACTTTGTTCAAATGCGTGTAGCTTATGCCATATTGAGTATTCTGCAACAGCACATAATACGATTTGTCTTCTTCGAAATTTGAGAGGAAAAAGGACGTTTTAAATTGTAGGTTCGACTTCTCGAACTTCGTCTCATAGCCGACGAGCAGTCCCAGCAGTTGCAAAACTTTGTCTCGTTGAAAGGTCGTGTGTTGTCTGAAAACTCAGATTTGGCTCGGCAAGTTGAAGAATTAGAGAGCAAAATCCAAGCAACAACTCGATTGAAGTTGCAGTTATCGAACGAACTGGACCAAACCCGTCAACTAGCCGATGAAGAAGGCCGTGAACGCCAGAACCTTAACAATCTGTCCAAGAACCTCACCAGAGAACTTGAGCAACTACGCGAATCCATTGAGGATGAGGTGGCAGGCAAAGCCGAATCTATCAGACAACTGCAAAAATCGCAGACTGAGCTTGAGCAGTGGAGAATGAAGTTCGAGACGGAAGGCTTAATTGGAGCTGATGAATTCGACGAGGTGAAGAAGCGCCAGAGCGCGAAGACTAGTGAAATCCAGGACGCACTTGACGCCAGCAACACCAAATTGGTCACGCTCGAGAACGCCCGCAACCGGTAACTTTCTTGTATTCTGCATTCGATTTTTTATTTGGTCTTATGTTTTTTCTTTGGGGGAGGGGATTGGGGAAAATAGTTCTCTTTGTTGTCTAAGAAAATCTACCCTTCGTCACCCCAATGAGCATGAGTGAGGAAAAAGATCATGTTCTACTCGGCTAAGCAGAATAATAGCTGCCGAATGAATTCTATTTTGAGAAGTATCTACTTCTAGGCTTAGTAAGATATACGGAAAATTCGCTGTCTAGCAAGTGTGCAGGGCAACTTGTGTCGATGAAAGTAAAACTGACGGAGCTGCCCTCCACGAGAAGCTCTATATCTAGACCCGTGATACATTTAGTGCCCACGCAATAGCTCTGCAATCCACCCACAAATATCAATTGCGGAACAGTGAAATACGCGATTTTCATTATTCCGTCCCGAAAAGATTTCGATATTGTCTCACTGCATATACAGAGAGATTTCCAAGACCTTAGTACTATTCCAAGCTTAAAAGAACTCTAATGACGATTTGCACTTAAAACCACATTCACACCAGCATCAGAATGTGATGTGGACTAAGAATATTAAATGCGATCTTATCAAGGAGAGAAGGACCGGTCCATTAAACGCTGCTCGACAGAACATTAGAGTCGATGGAGTTCCTGTTTTCGTCAACGTAAGTTTAGCCATCCACATTGATTCCTTTGAACAACCAACGATCCCGATCGGACGCTACAGTTGAGATGTGGATTAATGCCAACATTGATTGCCACTCTTTGTCGTTTACGCACCAACGTCAAGCTATTGCGAAATCAAGCATTTTATACATATTTCGATGATTTTGAAGAGATAATAATGTCTTCTAGATGGCTATGATGGCTAACTTCAATGTCAGAATTGGTCTCAGGTGAACGGAAAATCGCGTCGAGTCGAGAATCACGAATTGGAATGGAATAGAGAGAACAAGCGGTTCTCTGAGTTTTTCATAACCCACCAGGACAATTTATTATGGCAGCTCACAATCCTAGAAATCTCCTTTCTAATTCCAGAAAATTCACAGGACAGCTGTTATAATTGATTTGCGCTTTTCCTCGTACGTGAAACTATCGGCAAAACACGAATTCTGGTGTTTAAGTCTAACAACTGAAGCCGAAGCAAGCCGTCTTGAAGCCGAACGTCACGCTCAGTTTGTCGCATCGCTTGAGAAGAGGCAGAAAGCGTTCGACAAGATAATCGACGAATGGAAGAAGAAGGTAAGCAGGTCAATTAGGTCCAATTTTTCAACATCGCTAAAAATGTTAACTAAGCACATTGGACCAATCATCGACCATAATTCTCTGTAATCCATTAGAAGAAGTTGGTGTAGCATACAGATTTTAGGCCACAGAAATTTAGAACAGTCCAAAGATTCTTGTTTGACCAGGAACCTAATCGGGAAGTGAAAATGACAATTTCTACGTGTAGCTAACACAACTTTACTCAAATTTAATCCTTGTGGTACCAGTCACTGAGCCTGAATCATAATACATATTCAAAGACCACTACTAAGGATTTCGAAGTGATGTTTACTGCGATGACAGGTCGACGAGCTCTACCTGGAGTTGGCCAGCGCTCAGCGCGATTCTCGACAGCTGTCCGGAGAGGCGCACAAGTTGCGCGGTCAGCACGATGCACTCGTCGACCAGGTCGAGGGACTGAAGAGAGAGAACAAAGCTCTAGCCGACCAGGTGAGTTCTTCCGCAGCTTTCCTCATTCATTCGTGCTGCCGGCACGAGTGCTTAAATGACAGTCCTCAAAAACATCTATCTTTACGTCTTTTTTACAATAAAATTCAAGGCTACCCACCGTGAGGATGTCATATCCCTCAATGCTATTATGATCAGCACATTGCTTTGTCTGTTCATCTACCTTACATACTGAAATAGTCTTTTAAGCCGCAATTAATTCTTCCACTCTCTGGAATTCTACTCGAGCTTTTCCCTTAAAGCTTTCCAAATAGCTATTTTTTGAATGTGAAGTCACAAAGAATTTTTGGTGACAGTATGTTTTTTGTCGTCCATAGCGTAATCTTTTTTTCTTCTATTGGCTGAATAGGTGGGGCCAGAAATTATCGGGTTTTTATACAAAGAAATTTTTTCTTCTAGGTTCACGGCCTCACAGACCAACTTGGAGAAAGTGGACGTGCCGCACATGAGCTCTCAAAGAACATGCGTCGCTTCGAAATGGAAAAAGAAGAGCTCCAACGAGGTTTAGATGAAGCTGAGGTTGGTGCTGTCGTGCCAGACCATATCCATTGGGCGCCAAGAACTTTTCGTTTTCAAGGCAGCTCTCGAGGCCGAAGAAAGTAAGTCACTACGCTGCCAGATCGAAGCCACACAGATCCGTTCCGAAATCGAGAAGCGAATTGCCGAGAAAGAGGAGGAGTTCGAGAACTCTCGCAAAGTCCACCAACACACCATTGATAGTCTTCAGGTTTGGCGCGGAATACTCCATCAATTCCTTTCGTTGTCGTGCAGTATGAATTAATTTGGAACGAAAAGAATTCACATCGATAATTTAAAAAATATATTGGACCACGATGCAGATCGTTACGCCTCACTAGTTGCTGTCTACAGTAGTCCGTTTTAATAACACGAGGAAATTTTGTGGGTTCGAAAGTTTCTTTTTCAAATTTTAGCCTTTTCGGTCAACTTTTTCCATTAGTCCTCATTGGGTTTAATGTCTTTTACGAGAATTTTTATCACCTCAGTATCCTAGAGGAATTACAATGTTGTTTCTAATAAAACTTATAGTTTTGCTTTGTTGAAGTGAACAATTTAACTTATAGGCCAATCTGGAATCGGAGACGAAGTCAAAGTCTGAGTTGCTGCGCGTGAAGAAGAAACTCGAGGCGGACGTCAACGAGCTCGAAGTCGCTCTCGATCATGCGAACCGCGCTAATGAAGACGCACAGAAAAATGTCAAGTAGGTTGCAAGAAAATTTTCGACATATGCCAGCTCGAGCTACACTCCTATAAGAGAAAAAGACTGAAACCAAAGGCTCGAAAGCACGTCTTCCGTAGCTGCAAAGTGAACTCACCACATATTTGGCCAGCCCTGTCGCTAACCACACTACCACTTCTATCGTTTTTGAAACAGAGACAGATATGGTGTTTGTGTGTGTGTATGTGTATGTGTATGTGCATGCGTATGTGTGTATGTGCATGTGTATGTGTATGTGTATGTGTACACATGTGTATGTAAATGTGTGTGTATGCCGGTATGTATAGGTGTGCACCGTTATGTGCGTGTTTCTATGCGTCTACATTTTTGTGTGTATTTGGATGTATAAGAGATAAGTTTATTTATATGTTCTTGTAAACTGATCTTATTGAGGTGACGCGAGATATAGAAGATAAATTTGTACATATCCATAAATGTATGTGTCTGCGTGTTCGTGGGTATGTGTCAAGTGGTTGAAGTGTAAGATGTGCTGCTTGGATCTGGCAGCTGCCTCGAACCTAACACTCTGTTGTTATAATTAAGCTTTTATTCATGGCATTAATAAAATTATGGTGTAAAGGCGGGCGCGTGTGGCGCAGTGGTCGGAGGCGCCCTGTGAAACACACGTGGAATCGATCCCAGCGCTCATGGCCCACCAAATCCTTCCAACGTCGGCAAATTGGTACCAGACTTGGCTGGGAGGATAGCAGCACTGACTCGATGCTTCGGTAGGCCACCACAAGTCAAAAAATATATTGGACCGCGATGCAGATCGTTACGCCTCACTAGTTGCTGTCTGCAGTAATCCGTTTTAATAACACGAGGAAATTTTGTAGAGGCCAGAGATGCATTCAGTCACCTCCAAACATTGCTTAATGAAGCCGAATGTATGGCGCATCCCTCAGGGATTGATTAACGCAGAGAGCTTTATCTTTTAGAGCTTTTTCTGGTATAACGGGTCCACCAAATATGCATATGAGCGCTATGGTTAGAACACATTTCTTGCGCGGGGATTACATGAGGAACAAAAAAGCAGAAGTGAGATATTACACGAATGAAGTAATAGCTACATTGGGATTCCAGCACAGCAGGTGGACTAGGAGGACTTAATTGACAAAGTGGTAGAAACATTTATAAAGTTTCGGCCGAGTGCGTTTGAAGCGAGACAGTAACAATACCGCTATGGCGGGAATGTCATAATGCCACTGCCTGATTGCGATTAGACAGGCAAACCATCAATGTGTAATGACAGCAATCGAAGTGGCACGTTTCATCGCATTTCACATTGCATAAGAAGAGATCGAAACAGCTTACGGTCAACGAGAGAAACTTCAGGATACTATGAATAGGAAGAAAAGTTTTCCGTAGTATGTGAACACTCTCTGTAAGGCTACAGTCTTGTTCTTTTTTCCTTCTTTTGTCAAGTTCCTATATTGGTAGAGTAAGGCAACAAATGTGTCTTGAAAATATGAAAGTGCCATCGAGAAAGTTTGTAGCACAGCTGTTAGAGGTGGCCTAGAATGCACAAATTGTCTTCAGTTCGATCCCCCACTCTAGGTAAACCAAACCCTCCATCCAGCCGCGGTCTTCAACCATACTTGTTTGAGAGGATAAAAACACTCACTCGGTGAAAAGATAATTCCCAAAACAGGTCATTATGCATTATATCACCTCAATTATGGTCGTTGTGACGTATCCTTCAAAATACATAATCTATATTGTGCTGGCTATCTTGTTCTTATTTGCAGAAGGTACATGGACCAAGTTCGTGAACTGCAAGAAGTAATAGATGAGGAACAGAGACGACGAGAGGAATTCAGGCATGCGCTATTTTAACTTGCACTACTTTGCTGATCCTAAATTTATTCTTTAGTTTTATATTAAAACCAATTAAACATCAATATTGAAGAGAGTTGTTGCTTGGATCTGAACGGAAACTCGTAGCTGCGAAGCAAGAACAGGAAGAGTTGGTTGTGAAACTAGATGCAGTAGGTGTATTATTTTATTGTTATATGTGGCTTTGAAGAGTTTTTAACTTCGTGCTCGAGACAGCAACATCTCGATGTCTGAGAATTTCTAACCTTTTTGCGCCAGTAAGAATTTACTCCGAAATCTTTGTGCATTCCCCTAATGATTGATGTCTCTCTCATTTACAGTGCTATGAAATATGTAGAAGAAGGCTAGAAAGCGGCGTTTACTTTCGAATAACAGGTCATACCATAACCTTGTTTAGCAAGCCACTTTGTTGTACTTTCAATAGAAGTTATCAGTTAGATGCTATCCAATTCAGAATCCACCTAGAACAGCCGCCTGTAAACTTTATCATCGCGTTGTAATTACCGTATAACTCGAGTATCCGTAAACTGGTAAACTAGTCATTGGTGAAAACAGAGGTGACTAGTGGGCTCAAGTACCTTAGAAAGCGTGGAATGGCCTCAGAACTTCATTACGAAGTTCTGTGTTGATAAAATGGCTACATTTGACTTGATGTTTTAGTTTTATGAAAAGCATCAAATAGATTATGGCTAGATCTCAGTGATAGTTTGATAACTGGTCACAAAAATGTTCTTCATCGTACTTTAAGATTTTTTGAATCAGATCAGAATGTTTGAATTTTATGCACTTCTCCATCAGAAGCGCTCAACAGACATTTAGATTGAACGAGCTCGTCGTGTGGTAGAGCAAGCGGTTAGAGAGCAGCGGGAGCAGAACAACGAGCTAAATTCGCAAAACTGCGGTCTGGCGGCCCAAAAGAGCCAGCTGGATAACGAAATCGCTCTTCTCAAGGTATGTGCAGAATAGGATCAGCTCAGTTTGCATATGTGGGAGGTTAAGCCGAAAAGCGTGAATTTTAGAGCGATATCGCAGAAGCCCAAGCGGAATTATCTGCTTCTGTGGAGCGTAATCGTCGTGCAGGCGCCGATGCCACCAAGATGGCTGAGGAGCTTCGACAGGAACAAGAGCGATCACTAAAGATCGAGCGTTACAAGAAGCAACTTGAAAGTCAAGTGAAAGTGGGTGCATTAGTGTAGATAGTGTGTGTTAGAGTGTTAGATAGTGTTAGATACGTGTTATTAGTGTTAGATACGCAGAACTTTCCCATTATCGCTCGATTTCAAAAATCTTAATACTGCAAAAATATAGCTAGAATGTTTCAAAACAAGTAGACATCTCTTGAACTACAAGTAAAGCAGAGGATTCAGCTGCTAAGTGAGATCCTGTATACGAACGGATGCACGTCCTTCTCAGTCATTCTGCTCTGTCACCTTCATATTGGTCTAACAAGAAAAAATTTCGGTTTTTACTGAATACCCTAGAGGAGCAGTCATTTTGAGAATTTCTATGAAACAGCAGTTTTCAGGGCTAAAATCACTTTTCTAAAATATTCAAGCGGAAGGTTCTAATGGATTTACTAATGCTTTTTTTCTGCGTGCAAGAACCGTTTTGTTTTAGGAAATGCAAGAACGAGCTGATGCTTCCGAAGCAGCTGTGATGAAAGGCGGTGCGAAAGCCGTACAGAAAGCCGAAGCTCATCTGAAAACGCTCCAAAACAATCTGGAAAAGGAGGCTCATCGCGCTGCTGAAGCTGTAAAATCTCTGTCAAGAGCTGATCGCCGAGTTCGAGAGCTCGAATTCCAGGTGACCACCCCAATTAGTCGAAAATGTCAACCACTATGGTATCGAGAAGCATTGACTTCCGTAATAAGTCTTATGATCTTAAATCGAAAACAAGAGTAAAAATTTATCATTTTTCTAGACCTGTGACACCTGAGCGGCGTAAATTGGAACCGTACACTTCTCATTTTCATTTAATACAAGTGGAGGAAACCTAATCAACGATGACAGTCTTCTAGCGGCTACACTTGCATCACATGACGTTTTTAATTGAACTGCTTTAAGCCCACAACGATTTCTTCTTCTTGCGACGTTGGTCTTCATATTCGCATGGGGTGGCCCAATCCATCGCTTTCACTCTTTTTGCAGAACACTTCTGGTCACACTCGAACGACCTCACCCTCATCTGGTAGTTCGCAAAGATGAAGGACGATTCTTGGTTAACTGCCATCGAATTTTATCTGTTATATCGGTAGTGATCCAACCTCTAGCAGTCAAAGGAAACGTAAACTTTCACAAAATAGTTTCCACCAACTTGATGGCTCCTGCAAATCCTTGTTGATTGCTTCCTAATTTACTTCTCGTAACAGGAGCCTTTTGTAAAAATAAAAAGACTCTTTCGAAGAACTGCATCATCACTTATCTTTCTGACCGTTTGTCCTCCTTTTTGTTTTTCCATAAAAATAAATTTTTTGGCCTCCTATCTCCATTCGTGTCAATTATCTGAAAAGATATAAATGCGCTTAATATGAGATATAGTCAACACTTCTGTACACAGTTTTAGTCGTTGCATGTTTTCCACCACTTTGCTGCATTCAACTGTTGTTGGCCTCGACGTCTATGTTATTTTATTATTTATTTTACGATGATATTTCCTCTTTCAGGTAGCAGAAGATAAGAAGAACTATGACAAACTCCAGGAGCTCGTCGAAAAGCTCTCCGATAAACTCAGACAACAGAAGAAACAACTTGATGAAGCCGTAAGTGAGAAAATCTTATTGTGACTTATTCGCCATTTTCTAAGAATATGTCGTTTTTTTAGGAGGAGCAAGCGAACAATCATCTAACGAAATATCGTGCCGTACAGATGGCACTGGAGACGGCCGAAGAACGCGCCGACTCTGCCGAGCAGTGTCTTGTCCGCATCCGATCCCGCTCGAGGACCGCTATCGAGCAAAAGTAGACTACGAAATAAGTAACCTAGCTTAGTGTTACCTTTCCTTTTTCTATGTTAACGTAGTACATGGCTATAGTATGTAGCGCTTGTTTTGATCAAAATAAATCTACGAGCGTTTAACCTGACCTATCATGATTTTGCAATGTTTCATTGAAAATTCTATTACTCCACAAACTTTTCATACTGGAAAAACAAGGTGGTTTATGTGACATTAAAGTCATCGTAGTTTACTTTATCTTCAGAAGTTGAATGAAGTTGATCGATCTAAGAATCAACCGAGGTGACAAGATGAGAATAGAGTTAGGAACTCCATCAATGGTCGAAAACCATAAACCAGCACTATTATGAGACTGCTTCAAAAACGGTGGAAAACACGAATTAGTCCATTCTCTTTGACCCGACGGATAGTCGTGCTAGGCTGGTTCCATGTTTTTATGAGAGGCAGCATCGGGAATCTATGGATCGCAAGGAGCTTCCCAGAGTCGTACCAATTTCTCGATCCCGGATGTATCGGAAGCGTTATTGGTTTGATCAGCGTCATTTCAGATCTCACGAGTATTACTGAAAGCTTCTTTACCACTGATCTACTCCGGCAAAACAATTTAAATTAGTGCTTTTTGCAAAATGCATTCTTATATTTTACGGTATTAAAATTCATGGTAGGGGTAAGTCTTTGTCGATTTTTTGCAGAGTATCGTAGATTATTCTGCAGTTGGCTTTTCGAACCATTTGCTTTGTTTACTTTTTGTTTCGGATGCCAAGACGTGTTCCAGTCAACCTTTTTAAATGGTCAGTGGTCATCGCAGATGGTAACAACACGTCCAGAATCGTTCCACCTGAAGGCCCTTATCTGTATCCCTAAACTTCGGCATGAATCAACAATGCGCTTCCAAGTGCATATTATGCAGAAGATACGGAAAATTTCGTGTCAGCAGTACGGATCTTAATAAGCAGGAAATTGCAAATGGACATCAGTAATTGGTGACAGCTGCCTAGAGGTGATAATCGACTACAAATACTACTCATGAAGTTGCGGGAAAATTAAAGATTGACCATTCGTTAGCCACGTGGAAGACCTAGAAGACACTGAAAAAGCTCTACAACCGAATTCCAAATAATTTGAACATTAAACGAAGAGATAGTCCTTGTGAAATTTGCTCAGCCCGTTCTACATAGGAGCGCGCGTGGCGCAGTGGTCAGAGGCGCGCTGCAACACAAACGTGGGATCGATTCCTGCCTTCATGGTTCACCGAACCTTCTATTTCTCTGGGGTCGGAAAATTGGTATCAGACTTCTCTGGGAGAGATAGAAGCACCGGCGCGATACCTCGGTAGGCCATCGCGAGTCATTGTAAAGACCAGATATGCATTCAATCACCTCCAAACGATGCTTAACGAAACTGAATGCATGGCGCATCCCTCAGGGGATGGATCAACGCCGAAAGCTTTATCCCTTGTTTATCCCTTATCCTCCTTCTACACGAGAAAAGTGGCCCATTTCTCAATTTCTATGCTCCGATGAAAACAATCTTATGCGACAGCTGAAAATCCTCAGCCCAGAGGTTAGAACGACTGAATTTTTAGACAATTCCTAGAACAGATTATGCACTGCGAAAAAGTTACGATAAATTCCTATACCGACTATCTATTTCCTCAGCGTCGATCATATAATCACTGGCCTCTCAATGAAGAGACATGGATTTGTTAACAAAAGATGTACTCAGTACAAAGTTGGCTGAAGTCTCGATGTCCTTTGTTTGTCATCGCTTGACATTGTTTTCTCATCTAAATCACATAAAAAGAAGTGAATAAATGTTTCGAGTTGTCGAATGAACAGTTAAAGCATCGAGAATTGACTCGAAATCGAAGGCAAACTGGTTTCCATCTTTGGACGTTTAGGTTAACCTTTCCGAAAGTGTCTACAATACAGAGTGGTACCGAAAGCTAAGTAATAAAAACATACTGGCCCATTACCTTCCCTCTCACCATTCACTCACAAAAAGGTGCTTGTGGGAAACATGTTTCGAACAGCCAAACAGCCAGCAATATGTGCACAGCAAGAGGGCATAGTGTGGAATTCCTAAAACTGGCGTGGCAAATAGCCATTTCCACCCGCTACGAAATAGTGCCAGCTCACCGGGATAGGTTTAGAGGAAAAACCGATGTCCCTCCTAAACGATACCCCTAGCAAAAATAAAGCCCAGTTCACCATTCCCTTCATTTCCAACGAAACATGCACGTTGCTAAAGGACGGTTCCAGAAAACTTGGTAGTAGTAGCACTCTACGTAGTCTCTTGTAATACATACAGTACGACTGCATTAGCGAAATAGGTACACCACTCTGCATCCGTATAGAAGAGCGCCTAGCTGGAAAACTTAGAGTCAAACAAAACACTCAATTAGTCACATATAGGGTACAAAGATATCACCTGTATCACCGGTAGTCCCGTTGATCGTCGGCAGGCAGCAGTAAATCTTCCATTTTTCCCTGTTGCGTGCAAGAGTAGCCCAGTGGGTTCTGCTCGCTCTAGGGACTCGAAGAGCATTATATCTTTTCTCTGAGCTATTCGTGAAGAACTCTGACCATCGGGTCGGTGGTCATCCTGCAGTACTCTCGACATCCCAAGGAATCCAGTCACTGACTGCTCTTGTCCATCGGTTGCCATTCATACACATTACGTGTCCGGGCCACCTTATCTTCGACTGTTTGGCATACAGAACGGCATTTTTGATTTTTGATCATTGACGCAGGTCGGAGCTTCGGATCCCATCCCTTACCTGTGTGAAACGGGATACTCCTGGCAACGTCCTTTCGACTGAGCGTTCGATAACGCTGAGTGACCTTTCTTTCTGCTTATGCGGCGACCGGGTTTCTGACGCATACGTTAATGCAGGATGTACCGTTGAGTCGAAAAAGTGGGCACGGAGTCGGGTGTTCTTTGTCTTCTTCACTACATCCTCGTGCTCTTGAAAGCTCCCCAAGGCAGTCGTTTTCTTCTGCTCAGCTCTGGAGCTAAGTCGTTCATTATACTGTTTTTCCGACCTAGATAGACATAACTGGAGCATTCGGAGATATTCGTTCCGTTGAGCTTGAATGGGGCATGCGAAACCAATCCATTCTTCATGAACATTGTTTTTGTGAGATTTATTTCGAAGAACAACCCTTCCACAGACTTAATCAAAGTCGGCAAGCATACGTTGCGCTTGGCTAATGTTTGGTATTATAAGGACAATGTCATAAGCAAAAGGAAGATGGTGTAACTGCCGACCATCGATTTTCACTCCCATATTATCCCATTCCAATCTTTGCACGACGTTCTGGAGGGTGGCCGTGAATGGTTTTGGAGAGATGGTGTCGCCTTGCCTATCCCCTCTTTTGACATCAATGATGATATCGTTGTAGAATGGTGATATCTTGGTTGTGAAATTTTCGTACAGCTCACGAAGAATCTATATGTACTGAGTGGGGACTAGTTGACTATCAAGGGTTTCCATGACTGCTTCTATCTCAGTTGAATCAAAGGCCTTCTGTAAATCGATGAAAGTGAGACGGAGCGATCTTTTGTACTCTCGTGATACTTCAATGAGCGTTGTTATAGTGTGGATGTGGTCCATCGTACTAAATCCTCTTCGAAACCCTGATTGCTCACTTGGCTGTCCTTCGTCCAGTGTTCTGTCAATAATGTTTAGGATCGCTCGAGTGAAAAGTTCGTAGACAATAGACAGTAAGCAGATTGGGCCGATATCGTGCAGGTCGCCCTTCTTGAATAATAACAGGGTCATGCTGGTCTGAGTAAGTAAGTACCTTACATTCAGACAGACATGTGAAGAGCCGAGACAGTATGTTTACGAGAACTGGCGGAAGGTTCTTCGGGCGTTCTGATCACATCCCGCCCGGACCTGGTGCTGTCCGATTTTTCACCGACGAAATTGCATGTCGGATTTCGGAAGGGAGAACCGGTGGTACAACATATCCATCCTCCTCTATTTCAAGTGACGAAAGGTGGACGTGATTACCGAAGAGATCCGAGTAGTATTCATGAATAATTTTCTCCATTGCCTTTCTGGAGGCTGTAACTATTCCGTCTGGGAGTCGGAAAGGAACCATCTTGGTGTTGTAACTACTGAAGCTTCAGTGGGCTTTGCGAATTGTTTTCTTAGCCTCTGCAGCTTCGACCGTTACTGCTACTCTTCTGTTTTGTTTTTAAGATCCTCCCTTATCCACTGCCTGCATTGTTTGGCACGCTAGTGCGCTAATTCGCGGTTGCTTACAGCTCATGCGAATCCACGCTAGCGTGTTAGCTCGAGTCTCTGGAAACAGACGTCTCTTGGTGACTTTCGAACTGTCAGCCTTCATAGCGGTTAGGCAAAACCTTCTATTTACTACGATGTGGTCCATTTCGTTATGGTACTCTCCATTGGGAGACTCCCACGTCCAGCGTTGAGGGTGGGGCTTCTGGAACTGCGTGTTACCATGAATTGTCTTGTTCGCCATGATAAACTCAGACAGCCGCTCACCTTGTTCGTTCCAATCCAATCCGTAGGTCTCAATGTGACGTTTTTCTTGGTCCAGTCTTGGCGTTGAAATCTCCAATGATGACCTTGTAGATTGTGTGGTCTTCTCTGTAGAACTTCTCCAAGTCCATATAAAACGCTTCGACTTCTTCTTCGTCATAGTTTGATGTTGGCGCGTAAACGACGAAGGTTGTCAAAGCCGGAATTGACTCACGTCTTATTCGTAAACGTCCGATTCGGCTTGCAAGCTGTTCGCATGAATCGATGCTCATGGACAAACTCGTGTTGACGAGAACACCGACGCCGCAGACTCCTCTACTGTCGCATGTTCCGAGGAACAGTTCTTTTCCGGTGTCATAGACGGCGTTGAACAGCTGACGTCTTCTCGTCTCAGCTAGGCCGGTGACATCGTACCTTACCTTTCATGCTTGCATGAGCAAGTCTTCTATTGAGAACTCGGATGCAAGTGTACGTGCATTGTAGGTACAGATC